CAAATGCTTTTCGTAATCATCCATCCAATGCTCTTCGCAGCAATAAACTGGTAAGCCACAGTCTGGGCATTCAAAGTTGACGTGCTGAGGCGGCTGAGTTCCCTTTGCAGCCTCGGGGTCCTCGGGTTTCGGGGCAATGGTAGGAAGCTTCGTTTGCTGGTGGTCGGGGTGAGGGCAGTAGGCATGCTGCCGCATAAAAGCAGCTCGTTGCCGGAACTCTGGTACTGGAGACTTTGAAAACGGGTGAAAGAGGTTGTCTTGACTCAGGCGTAATGGTGACGGAGACGACTTATTGGTGACAGTTGCGGTGGCCTCGGATTTTGTCACTGAGGAAGTGGAAAAGTCTCGATTCTTGGACGTAGGCGAAGCTCTTCTTTGGTCCTTGGTAGTTGAATGTCTGCGGATATGATGGGCTGATATCCTCATCCATGGCCTAGCTGCCGCTCCAGAGGCCAATTGCCTCCGGACAGCTGCAGGACATTGCCCACAGATGCTCGAGGCTGCTTTCCTCAGAGTAGGCTCCATTTTATGGACAAAATCAGCCAGATCCAGGACACAGTTCAATACCCAGACTTCTTCGGAAGGCCTGACATCGCTGAAGTGGGATAATTCAAAGAGCTCGGACCACGATTATCTGCGCCGCAAAATAATTCCTCCGAAGCGCGCCAAACTTTTGACATCAAAGCTCGCTTGAGTTTCAAAAGCTCCAACCATCAGCTTCGACGCGACACAATCAGACCTGCCTTTGTCTTTGAAGCCGCGCAGGCTCATCTGCGCCTAGCCGCAAACATGGCGACCACGTCGAACATGTTCATGTACTCGCTGACGGTTCAGCCGCCGACAAATGTCACGCAAGCGGTCTTGGGCCAGTTCGCAGGCACTAGAGAACAGCTTATCATCACTGCTGCTGGCTCGCAGCTCTCCCTACTACGACCCGATCCATCCCAGGGAAAGGTAATTACCCTCCTATCGCATGATGTCTTTGGCATCATACGTTCCCTCGCCGCTTTTCGGTTAGCTGGTAGCAATAAGGGTAAGTCAATCCAATACCCCTCTCAGGAAAATCACTTAGTGATATTCGAAAGCGATGCCACAGACGCGTCGACTACAGCGCTACCGAGTACTTGATGCCCTGTTGCAAGAATCCCAAAGCTAACAAATCTTCCAGACTACTTGATCATTGCGTCCGATTCTGGTCGTATCACAATCATTGAGTACCTCACTGCACAGAACCGCTTTCACCGTTTACATCTCGAAACTTTTGGCAAATCCGGTGTACGGAGAGTCATCCCTGGCGAGTATCTAGCCTGCGACCCAAAGGGCAGAGCATGCTTGATTGCCTCAACTGAGAAGAACAAACTTGTCTATGTTCTCAACCGTAATTCACAAGCCGAGCTCACAATCTCGTCACCGCTTGAGGCCCACAAACCCGGCGTGCTGGTCATCTCCATGGTTGCGCTTGATGTTGGCTACTCAAACCCAGTGTTTGCCGCACTCGAGATTGACTACTCCGAGATTGATCAAGACTCGACCGGCCAAGCAATGGAAGAGTTGGAGACTCAACTGGTCTATTATGAGCTTGATTTGGGACTCAATCACGTTGTGCGCAAGTGGTCAGACCCTGTTGATCCAACAGCCTCAATTCTGTTCCAGGTCCCTGGTGGAAATGACGGGCCTAGTGGTGTGCTCGTGTGCGGTGAAGAAAATATCACATATCGACACTCAAATCAGGAAGCATTCCGTGTTGCCATCCCTCGTCGACGCGGCGCCACTGAGGATCCGAACCGCAAGCGCACGATCGTGTCTGGTATCATGCACAAGCTGAAAGGCAGTGCAGGCGCGTTTTTCTTCCTCCTTCAAACAGATGACGGTGATCTCTTCAAACTCTCGATTGATATGATTGAGGATGAGGAAGGTAATCCCACTGGAGAAGTCAAAAGACTCAAGATCAAGTATTTTGACACCGTTCCGGTCGCCTCAAGTCTCTGTATCTTGAAGAGCGGTTTCCTCTACGTTGCTTCTCAGTTTGGTAACTACTCATTCTACCAATTTGAAAAGCTCGGTGATGACGATGAGGAACTAGAGTTCTATAGTGATGACTTCCCAGCGGATCCCAGGGCTTCTTACGAGCCAGTTTACTTCCACCCTCGGCCAACTGAAAACTTGGCCCTGGTCGAGAGCATCCCTGCCATGAACCCCCTCCTAGATTGCAAGGTCGCAAATCTCACTGGAGAAGATGCACCTCAAATCTATACCATTTGTGGTAATGGCCCCCGAAGTAGCTTCAGGATGCTCAAGCATGGCTTGGAAGTCAACGAGATTGTTGCCTCTGAACTGCCTGGAATTCCTTCTGCTGTTTGGACGCTGAAGCTGAATCGTTCCGAACAGTACGATGCTTACATCGTACTATCATTTACCAACGGTACGCTAGTCCTTAGTATTGGCGAGACTGTTGAGGAAGTCAGTGACTCCGGTTTTCTCACGAGTGTTCCAACGCTGGCGGCCCAGCTCCTTGGTGACGATGGACTGATCCAGGTTCATCCCAAGGGCATTCGACACGTGCGTAATGGCCATGTCAATGAATGGGCCGCTCCACAACATCGCTCCATTGTTGCTGCTACAGCCAATGCTCATCAGGTCGCTGTCGCTCTCAGCTCTGGTGAGATCGTCTACTTCGAGATGGACGCGGACGGCTCACTGGCTGAGTATGATGAAAAGAAGGAGATGTTCGGTACCGTTACTTGCCTAAGTCTGGGTGACGTCCCTGAGGGACGATTAAGAAGTTCATTCTTAGCTGTCGGTTGCGACGATTGCACTGTCCGCATACTCAGTCTGGATCCAGAGTCGACTTTGGAAAACAAGTCAGTTCAGGCTCTTACAGCTGCGCCAACATCGCTGGCAATCATCGCAATGGATGACTCCTCGTCGGGCGGTTCTACCCTCTATCTCCACATCGGTCTACACTCCGGTGTCTATCTCAGGACAGTTCTTGACGAAGTCACTGGTGAGTTGACAGACACGCGCCAAAAGTTCCTCGGCCCCAAAGAAGTCCGACTTTTCCAGGTCACAGTTCAAGGCAAGACATGCGTGCTTGGTCTAAGCTCCAGGCCTTGGCTTGGCTACGCAGACCCGATCACAAAAGGTTTTGTAGTGACGCCCCTAAACTACGTCGACCTTGAGTGGGGTTGGAACTTCAGTAGTGAGCAGTGCGAAGAAGGCATTGTTGGTATCCAAGGTCAATCGTTACGGTACGTTGCTATTCCTTTTTGTTACTCCTGATATCTGGTTGCATATGATGAGAAAACGGGATCCTATGCTTTAAGCAATGAGGCTTATTACGCATTTTTCCAATTGTTCCTACTGAAGCAACATATTTCTCCAACGTTCTTGTGGCATCCATCATAAAGCAAGGCGTGCGCTAACGCTGGCAGAATTTTCAATATCGATCGGCTTGGCGATACACTCATCCAGAAATCAATTCCTTTAACATATACCCCAAAGAAACTTGTGAAGCACCCTGACCAGCCTCTATTCTACACTATCGAGGCAGACAACAACACTTTACCACCTGAGTTACGTGCACAACTTTTGGCAGACCCTAAAATCGTCAACGGCGATTCTAGAGTGCTCCCACCTGAAGATTTTGGCTACCCCAAAGGTACACGTCGATGGGCATCTTGCATTAATGTGATAGATCCGCTTTCCGAGGAAGGACAGGTTGTGCAAACGATTGATTTGGAGAACAATGAAGCGGCAGTCAGTGCAGCAATCGTGTCTTTTTCAAGCCAAGATAACGAGAACTTTTTGGTGGTTGGTACCGGCAAAGACATGGTGGTCAATCCCCGCAGTTACAGCGAAGGATATCTACACATTTACCGATTTCAAGATGGGGGGCGAGAACTTGAGTTCATTCACAAAACCAAGGTTGAAGAACCACCTCTGGCTCTTTTGGCTTTTCAAGGAAGAGTGGCTGTTGCAGTTGGAACACAGTTGCGTATATATGATCTCGGCATGAGACAGATGCTCCGCAAATCTCAGGCTGAAGTAGCAGCGCAGCAGATCGTGTCGCTGAACACCCAGGGCAGTCGAATTATCGTCGGTGATGTTCAACAGGGCGTAACCTACGTGGTATACAAGCCTGCATCGAACAAACTCATTCCCTTTGTTGATGATACCATCGCAAGGTGGACCACATGCACAACCATGGTAGATTACGAGTCGGTGGCCGGTGGTGACAAGTTCGGAAATATGTTCATTGTCCGCTGCCCTGAGAAAACCAGTGAAGAGGCTGACGAGGAGCAAACGGGCTTGCATCTTATTAATGCGCGAGAATACCTCCACGGTACACCTCACAGAGTGAGTCTGATGTGCCATTTCTACACACAGGACATACCAACCAGTATCACCAAAACGAGTCTGGTAGTTGGTGGGCAGGAAATTTTACTATGGAGCGGTATCATGGGCACTATCGGAGTCTTCATACCATTTGTCAGTCGTGAAGATGCAGACTTCTTCCAGAATCTCGAACAACACCTAAGGACCGAGGACCCCCCGCTCGCCGGACGAGATCATCTTATGTATCGCGGCTATTATGCTCCTGTCAAGGGGGTCATTGATGGCGATCTATGCGAGCGGTACAACCTCTTACCCAACGACAAGAAGCTTATGATTGCCGGCGAATTGGACCGATCGGTCCGAGAGATCGAGCGAAAGATTTCTGTAAGTTCTCTGTGGCCCGACATTTTTATCCTCGCAGTGTGCTGACTAAATTTCAGGATATTCGGACACGGTCTGCATTCTGATGAGGGAAAAGTGGTATCTTTAGTATATCCTATGAAGCTATTGTACAAAACTTGAAGTGTTTGGGTTGTTGGCGGCGTTAAGGTACAGGGCTAAAAGTCCCTGTCTTGGAAGAAAATAGGTAATCAACGAACCGAACCGTGTGTTGAGAACCGCAACGCGGTACGAACCATGAATCTAATATTCAACCTGAAGCTCGATCAGAGTCCTCTCCAAAACGGGCCACGGTTCTTATATATGTCGGCCTTCTTGCCCTTGCCAGAGGCTGGATTCTCTTGCTCCCATTCTTCATCGTCCAAATATGCTGTAACAGCGTTCTCAAGATCATAGCTAGACTGTTCCAGGTACAGTACAGCAATGTCATAGTCGAAGACTTTGCAGGATGTCATGAAGCGGCGAATCTTGCCCTTCCTCAGCTCCTCATATTCGCCCTCGATGGGCCGTGGTGAGAGGCTAACTCCGCCCCTGTAATACTCGCCAGGAATCAACACTGTTCGTCTTCCGAGAAGCAAGTGGTCGCTCGTGATGTTATTACTTCGTCGCAGAGCGTGAGCGGGCACGCCGTATCGAAGAGATAAGGAGCTGACGCTGTCATGGCGATGGTCGAGGAAATGAAGGATATCCGGAGCATCTTCTTTGGTAGCATCCTGCGCCAATGCTGCCTTCTCATCGTTGACGCTCGGCGTAGGTGAGGCTGCGGAGTATGGTGGAGGCGCGCCGGAGATATGTGCAGTCCTTGAACTGGGCGATGGCAGCGATGTATAAGCCGGCGGTTCCCTCAACCCCTGCGGCAGAGACGTCGGCCCTGTCGAAACCTGACAGTATGGACAATAGTCGGCAAATCGCTCGTTCTTCTACCAAGCAAGAGTATCAGCTTCAGTCTGGATAAAAAAATGATTGTTTAGATACATGACGAACATGGATGCATTTGCCACAGATGATTCTCGCACAGCATGCGACTCGACGATCTTGTGGAAGAGATGGTTTCTCTTTCGTGTACGCTGGCGTTGAGGAGAGGATGGTTGCACACGTAGAGCAAGACTCCATGATATCGCGGGTATCGAAGATCAGTTTGTTAAGTAAAGGTTTAAGAAAATAGATCCGTATCTACCTAGGGATTCTACAGTACACTCGAAGGTTGCACACCTATCCTCCCATGAAGGTCGTGGTTGTCCAATCACGTCATGGGGACGCTAGTGGCCTGTGTAGACGCCACCCGACTGTAAAAAGGGTGGTTGCATATGGTATCGAGCATATCCACGCGACTCAAAAAGACGTTGTCGTGAGGAGAAATGCATAGAAAGAAAACGCAAAAAACAATGGACTGTATTTTGACTGCTCAACCCAAAAATATCCTCTTACCATCAGCCCTGCACAGGTTTCTATATTTCCATATTGTCCCAATCAAATGTGACCTTGAGTCTCAGGTGTCTCCGCTGAGCCCTTCACCATTGTCGCAATCCTCAGCCAAGGCTCTTTAACCTTAACCTTTTCAACTTACCAGGTACACCATTTCCAACATCGCGTTTCGTCTATACGTGTTCAACCTATACTTGGCCCAAGTCATATTACAGCGATCTATAAGAGCATTCAACATGAGCAAACCATTGGCCTTCGGCCTCAACCTTAGCAAGAAGCCAGGCGCGTCGAAGCCCCCTCCACCGAAACGAAGGCCAATGTTTGGTGACGATGATGATTCCGACAACGAAGGCACCGTCGAGGAAGGCAAAGCTGAAGAGATTGGAGAGTTCGATGACCGTGGTCGCGCTCAAAACGCAAAAGCCAACATCACCAAATTGAGCAAACCGAAGAGTGGCCCCCCGACTCAACCCCCGAAGCTCAAATCCAAGAGTCAGCCCAACGTAATGTTTGGTGATCTCTCTAGCTCTCTGGCATCACGAAGAAACGCTGAGGCTGCCACGGAAGTCGATGCTAGCGTCTACGAGTACGATTCTGTTTACGATTCTCTCAAACCAAAGAAACAGGTCGCGAAGGAGGATCAAGAAAAACAGCCAAAATATATGAAAAACATCCTGCAGGCAGCCGATATACGGAAGCGCGACGCATTAATTGCAGAGGAGAAGAAAATTGCACGGGAGCGAGAGGCCGAAGGGGAGGAATTTGCTGGCAAGGAAAAGTTTGTCACAGAAGCATATCGTAAACAACAGGAAGAGAATAAGAGGATTGAAGAAGAAGAGAGGAGACGGGAAGAGGAAGAGGCGAAGAAGGACAAGGGTGGTGGCATGTCTGCCTTCTACAGAAAACTCCTCGATAAAGATGAGGAAAGGCATTCGGATGCTGTCAAAGCGGCTGAGGGAAAGGTTAAGCATGGCGCACCCGAGGAGGACAATGCAGATGACGACAAGCAAGAGAGGGAGAAGACAGAGACCGATATCGCGAATGAGCTTAACGAGAAGGGCGCCGCAGTTGCCATCAACGAAGACGGCCAAGTGGTGGACAAGCGCCAGCTTCTTAGGGGTGGCTTAAACGTTGGCCTAAAGAAGAAAGAATCAGTCCAACGCGAAGCGGAACGACAAGCTGAGCGACCGCGGAAGGATATCGCAAATCAGCAGTTCGGAAGAAAACAAGCTCAACGAGAACGACAGTCACGCATGATCGAGGAGCAGCTCGAGCTGTCAATGAAGCGATCACGGGATGAAGAAGCGGCACAGAGGGAAGAAGCTGAGCGAGCATCGAAGAGCCGGAAGACAGAGGGCGAGATCTCAAGTGCGAAGGAACGATACCTAGCTCGAAAACGAGCCGCCGAAGAAGCGAAGAAGGCCGCTGGGGGAACTTAGATACCCAAACTCGGGAATTGAAGAAGGTTGTGTACAACGACATGGCATGGCTTTTGACATAACATCCCAGTCAGATATTCTCCGGTTCGTCTATTGCCCCGTTCTATCCTTAATCTGCTCTTCGTACATGATGTCTCCTCGTCGGCGTCATCCGACCCGTTTTGTCACAATATGTTACAATCTTGCGCTTTCATGAAAATTGTCGCAAGCCGTTGGGTTTTGATTTTGAGCATCTTGGCCTCTTCAATTTTGCAAGCTAGCAGACTCTTGCCTTAATCGGGCAATGTATGCTGCGTTGACCATGTTCCAAGCGGCCATGTACTTCTCCATGCAGCTGGTCATGCAAGTCGTCTCGCCGCTCGATAGAGAAGTTCCGGGCTTGGGGACGCACTTCTCAAAGCAAGTCTCTTGGAGTTTCTGTCGTAGGCTGTTGTTAGTCTTGGTTAGAAGGTGAGGAATTGTGACATGGACGAACCTCAATAAGAGTGCGGGCGTTAACCAAGTTGGCCTCCTGCTGAACCTGCTTGATGACAGCAGCCTTGACTTGTGTGGAATCCATAGTTGTGATGTGTGTTTGACAGTCGTGACGTTGTCTGTAAAGCTGGCCTGGGCGACTGTCTATCGCAAAAACGTAGCGGGCTGGAAAAACTATCGGTCCGGGGCAGGGATTCACCTGATTGAAATCTTAACCTCAGACTGCTATGCCCAGTTTATAGCTATCGAAGTCTCTATGTTTCTCATGACCACGTATTGTGATACGTATTAATATACAGACATAACTTGTTTGCAACCTGGAGGTAAACCAATAGTGGTACCATTCGTTACAAGCAGAAAGCATTTGCTATGTGTCAAGGGCCTTGGTTGTAGTCGAGGCCTGCTTTCTGGACTGCGAAACACTCTGTGTTTACCCTTCGTCATACCGCATTGGTATCCTCTATGTTGACCTGATTAAATGTAAGTCTGAAAGACTCCCTCCGGCTTTGAACCCCAACATCCAACTGAGGCGTCGGAAGTAGTGCTAGTCTCTAGGAGTCTGGGTAGCAAGGGTAGATCCGTTATTCCCAGTGCTGACTTGTGGCGTGGGGCTTCCTGACGTCGTCGGTTCATTTCTTCCTCGCCCTCCAGTGAACAGAAACTGCGTCACTTTACGCTGAGGGAGGTCTTGGAATTCTCAGCCCCGGCCAGTGCCCGAAGTGACCAACTCTCTCTTTATGTCATCCGGGGATGTTCGAATCGGAATCTCGCCAGCCACGGGATACTTTCAAGTTCTTGCTTGTATGTGAAACCCCAAAATATATGCTCCTATCAAATCCGGGATACAGACGCAGCTCGTCCCTCCGGTTCTCTCAGCTTCATTGCGATCTCCCGCCCTCCGTACACTAATCCCAGTGCGGGACCCGGTCATGTTGCCATCCTCATCGAAATCTGCGTTTACGTTATCCGCTATGGCCCGACCGCTGCTGCTGGGCATGGATGTGACTTGGGAGGAAACAGACCGCCACCCCTAAACACCGCGCAGAATGCAGAACGTCTGTAAAACCCTCAAATGCCAGAGGCTCGTTACTGCCCCCGAGCAATGGGACTTGAGCCAGCTCTTGGAGAAATGGTCTCCGGCGGACGGTACCATTGTTGTAAAAACAGCTACATTCCGATAAAGATTATAAAGACATGGATGAATTGACAGATAAGAGGTAAGTTGCAGACAGTAGTATTTCGAGGACATCAGCTAATGATCCAGTTCAATGAATGTTGATAAACCTCGGTCATGCCTATACGGCTCCATCGAAGCTGAAGATCTTGAAATATCCAATGAACGACAGGTCCTTTCCTACCCAAAACCTACAAAGAACGGCTGTCTTCAACCCAGTGTCCCTGCAGAAGTATCTGACAGATTTACCATCACATTAGGACCGCCGGTCGGATTCACGACTTCAAACCCTTCTTGCATATTATTGTAAGGACCTATTTCTTCCTCGATTCCGTCCAAGAAGCCAGGCCAGCCCGACCAGGCTACACATTAGTCGTCACCTGCTGGCATCAGTCCTACTCGAGTTAGACAAGATGTTAAACCCAAATTTGCTGTTCACTGTAGTTCACTGCCCAACGCCATCGCACATGACTACGGTCCTCATACCCATGGCTTCCATTTCAGCAATCATTAGTTTGCATGCCCTGCTATGCCTACAGAAGAGATTCCAAAAACATGGACGCTGTCTATTGTCGCATCTGATGGCAAATACATACAAGAAGGGATTTCGGCGGGGTTTGACGCCTGTACTTTTCTGGCTAACAGCTAAATCTAGGTACTGGACATCTTATTTAAGAGCTCAAATTCAAATTGCAGCTCTAGGGGCCCTGCCTTACTTGGTAAACTCCCCAGGCCAATATGGACAAGGTTGTGGTTTTCTTCTTCAAGAACAAGCATAAAGCTCAGAACTCAATGAAAAAAAAAGTTGATGTTGCGAGACTAAAAGTCAAGCGTGAGGTTTCAAAAAATTGCTCACATGGATAGCCCGAAGCCCGAAGGATACAACACAGACCCTTGGCAGAAGAAGCTACGCAAGACTACCAAGCAAGAGAAGCACAGCCCATAGGTTCCAAAAAGTGTGATATCTTGAAGAAAGGGTCCCCCCCGGTTTGACCCAGGGTAAACCACCCTCATCAAGAGAAGCATGAGAAGAGAAGAAAAGAAAAGCATCAACAGACGGAAGCCCAGGATTTTATAGTGCCCCAGTTTCTGCCACTGGTCTGGCAGGCAGCTGGAGGTTCCTACCCTCGCTCTACTGTTAATCTCCTACGGGCAGCTGGCGGTCAGGTTCCTTCCCTCTCAAAGCTGATCCTCGGGCTCTCGCCATCAAACCGGAAGGAATTTGGTCGCCATTTAGGTAGGTACCTACCCAGGTACCTAACGTACTGGCGAGCTTCAGTTTCAGCAAGTACGACATAGGAATTTCTAATCGTCCAAGGTAACAAGGCCATCTCCCTACCTACCTAAGTATTGCTAGAAGGCAGTGGGATGATCTTTCCGTTGTATCCCCTTCCTTAGCCTTGTTTGGCTTCAGCCTTGACCTACCTACCTAGGTAGGTAGGGACCTGTTATGGCTTAGGTGTTGCGGGTATATATATCAAATTAACAACATCACAGGAACCTTCGGGCCGGTGGCACTCTCATCAAAGAGAAGCGTGATACTTGAAGAAACCACCTTTTTTGGACAGGGGTTTCATTGTTCGAACCCCGCCTAACAGGTA